TAGTTAGTTAGTTAGTTAGTTAGTTAGTTAGTTAGTTAGTTAGTTAGTTAGTAGTTAGTAGTTAGTTAGTTAGTTAGTTAGTAGTTGTTAGTTAGTTAGTTAGTTAGTAGTTAGTAGTTAGTTAGTTAGTAGTTAGTTAGTAGTTAGTTAGTTAGTTAGTTAGTTAGTTAGTTAGTAGTAGTTAGTTAGTAGTTAGTTAGTAGTTAGTAGTTAGTTAGTTAGTTAGTTAGTTAGTTAGTTAGTAGTTAGTTAGTTAGTTAGATTAGTTAGTTAGTTAGTTTAGTAGTTAGTTAGTTAGTTAGTTAGTTAGTAGTTAGTTAGTTAGTTAGTTAGTTAGTTAGTAGTTAGTTAGTTAGTTAGTTAGTTAGTTTAGTTAGTTAGTTAGTTAGTTAGTAGTTAGTTAGTTAGTTTAGTTAGTTAGTTAGTTAGTTAGTTAGTTAGTTACGTTAGTTAGTATTAGTTAGTTAGTTAGTTAGTTAGTTAGTTAGTTCGTTAGTAGTTAGTAGTAGTTAGTTAGTTAGTTAGTTAGTTGTAGTAGTTAGTTAGTTAGTTAGTTAGTTCGTTAGTTAGTTAGTTAGTTAGTTAGTAGTTAGTTAGTTAGTTAGTTAGTTAGTTAGTTAGTTAGTTAGTTAGTTAGTTAGATTAGTTAGTTAGTAGTTAGTTTAGTTCGTTAGTTAGTTAGTTAGTTAGTTAGTAGTTAGTTCGTTCGTTCTTCGTTCGTTGTATCGTTCTTCGTTGTTCGTTTCGTTCGTTCGTTCTTCGTTCGTTGTAGTTCGTTAGTTTAGGTTAGTTCGTTCGTTGTTCGTTAGTTAGTTGTTGGTTAGTTAGTTAGTTCGTTAGGTTGTCGTTAGTTCGTTGTTCGTGTTCGTTTCGTTCTTAGTTAGTTGTTCGTTCGTTCTAGTCGTTAGTTAGTTAGTTAGTTGTTAGTTAGTTAGTTAGTTAGTTAGTTAGTTAGTTAGTTGTTAGTTAGTTAGTTAGTTAGTTCGTTAGGTGTTAGTTAGTTAGTTAGTTAGTTCGTTAGTTCGTTGTTAGTTAGTTCGTTAGTTAGTTGTTAGTTCGTTCGTTAGTTAGTTAGTTAGTTAGTTATGTTAGTTAGTTGTTAGTTCGTTCTTTAGTTAGTTTAGTTAGTTCGTTGTTGTTAGTTAGTTCGTTCGTTCGTTTCGTTCTTGTTAGTTCGTTCGTTAGTTCGTTCGTTCGTTCGTTGTTTTCGTTCGTTAGTTCGTTTCGTTCGTTAGTTCGTTGTTCGTTCGTTCGTTGTTAGTTGTTGTTCGTTCGTTGTTCGTCGTTAGTTGATGATTTCGCTTTCTACATGTCTTTGCAGCTAATTTTTCGTTGTAGACTTCTTAGTACTGACAAGCGGTTAAGGCTTATGAAACGATAAAAACGCTAACTGAATGGAATATAATTTTGTATTACATTCAAAACTTTATAAATAGCGAAAGCAACTTTTTCTCTTACCATCTCTCCCTTTCACTGACCACTGCATGTTTTTGCCAACCACATCCACATAAAATATCAAAACTTAGAAACGTTCTTCTGTCTAGTACTGTTTTTTAAGTAGTTTATTGTAGTTTTTATTATTCTCAGTAAAATATTTAGGTACTTATTCGTACTTTCTATTGTTAACAAAAATAATAGAGGGAAAAACAACAACATAAAAAAATTAAACTTATGATTATACGCCCTCTTAGCTTAACAATTGTTAGTCATATTGTCTAAAAGACAAACAATTGTATACTGTGTTTGTTCTTAATGTTACTCCACATTTTACGCAAAAAAAAAAAAACATAAATGTGAAAATCTATTGTTGAAAAGCAGAAAATAAAACACAAGAATAAACTTGTTAGATGTTTTCAGAGATACGGTATGAATGACAGAAGTTTAAAAGTCTTAATTAATTTTTGGTATAATGAAATATTTTGAAATAAGATGTAGAATTAAAATTTTGATTTTTTTTTTTAAATAAAACAACAAATTAGCAACTAAAACTATTTGAATTAGTTGATCAATTTCCCAATTTAAGCTAGTAACTGCAATTTCTTTGCTTTAACAAAACATTTTGCTGGGTTTGCTTTTTTTTGCCAAAGACAAATTGTGTTTATTCTCGGTTACCACAACATTGTTGTGGGTCAACAACTTTTTAAAATGTGTATTATTGTTTAACTTTAGTCGTTGCAAACAAAAAAAGAAGTAACAACACATAAAAAACAAAACTGTATAAAAACATTTGGTTTTTTGAAAAGTTCTTTTTCAAAGAAACCACTGCAACTTCAATTTTATTGTATGTATTTAAAGGGTTTCTTTATGTGAAATAAATTTTAAAAATATGCATACAAAGGAATGTTAAAAGAAATTGTAAAGAATATATTATTATTTGATTTTGTATAAGCTAAAGTAAGGGAGTTAGGTTAAAAAAAAAAAACAAATAAAGTTTTGCATGGTTTCTAGAGATGAAACAAAAGATTTTTAGAAAAATAAAACAATTTTGTAAATAAAATATAATATAATATAATATTATAATAGAAATTCAAAAGACTTTTAAGAAGGGTATATAATAACTAATTATGTTGAAATAAAAAAAGCTTTTGCAGAAGAATGCCTCAAGTGTAAAGAATACATTTTGTCATTTAGTTCTGTATAATTTACATATTTCAATTTCTGTACCTGTTTTCTTCAGACTCTTTAGAAAACAAAAATATTAGAGGACCTACAGTGCGTATGATTAATATTAATTAAATGGTTGTAGTGGAAAATTCCTTATAACTCGATAAATATTTCATCTTTTAAAATAATTCTAAAAGCGAAAGAAACTCTATAGAATCAGCTATAAAAAGAACGTTTAAAATCTCCAAAATTATAACCTTGAGTCTCATTTTTAATATTTCAAAACTTTTTCTATTTAAGACATTTCTAAGTCAAAACCTTGCAATACAATTTCTTTGTTTATAGAAAAATTCTAAATTAATTAAATTTTTTACTTGACTAAAAATTTCAATTTGTACCCTACATAAAAACTGAAATGGAAAATAACTTGTGACAAAAAATGTTGCGTATGTACAAATCAAAAGTAACAGATTTTCACAAGAAAAACTGAAAATGAAAAAACAAAAAAAAAAAGATTCTGTAAATGTGAAGACATTTGAGACATTTTAGTAAGACACTTGAACAATACATTTTACTTTTAGTTCCAAACGAGCAGTAAACAAAAACTTTGAATGAGTGACATGAATAGAACATTTTCTATAGAGAAATGTTTGAGCACAAATGTACAATGAAAAAAATAAATATAAAATTTTATGACTACAACAACAATGGTAAAATAATAATAAATAGCAACAGAAAAGGGCAACAAACATTAATGGAAAATACAGGTTGAGAATAATAATTGTAAAACGAGGTTGGTTACAAATTTTAAAAAAATATTTACGAAAATTATTACGAAGCAATAAAAAGCTAACCTAACAAGTCTATAGTCTAGTCTATAGTCTAGTCTATAGTCTAGTCTATAGTCTAGTCTATAGTCTAGTCTATAGTCTAGTCTATAGTCTAGTCTATAGTCTATAGTCTAGTCTATGGTCTAGTCTATAGTCTAGTCTATAGTCTAGTCTATGGTCTAGTCTATAGTCTAGTCTATAGTCTAGTCTATAGTCTAGTCTATAGTCTAGTCTATAGTCTAGTCTAGTCTATAGTCTAGTCTATAGTCTATAGTCTAGTCTATAGTCTAGTCTATAGTCTAGTCTATAGTCTAGTCTATAGTCTAGTCTATAGTCTAGTCTATAGTCTAGTCTATAGTCTAGTCTATAGTCTAGTCTATAGTCTAGTCTATAGTCTAGTCTAGTCTAGTCTATAGTCTAGTCTATAGTCTAGTCTATAGTCTAGTCTACAGTCTAGTCTATAGTCTAGTCTATAGTCTAGCCTAGTCTAGTCTATAGTCTGGTCTAGTCTAGTCTAGTCTAGTCTAGTCTATATCTAGTCTAGTCTATAGTATAGTCTATAGTCTAGTCTATAGTCTAGTCTATAGTCTAGTCTAGTCTATAGTCTAGTCTAGTCTATAGTCTAGTCTATAATCTAGTCTATAGTCTAGTCTATAGTCTAGTCTATATTCTAGTCTATAGTCTAGTCTATAGTCTAGTCTATAGTCTAGTCTATAGTCTACTCTATAGTCTAGTCTAGTCTATAGTCTAGTCTATAGTCTAGTCTATAGTCTAGTCTATAGTATAGTCTATAGTCTAGGTCTCTGCTACTAGTCTGCGGTTCAGTCTATCGACTAGTCTATGAACTAGTCAATAGACTTGCAAGAGACCAATCTGTGGACTAGTCGATTGCCTGTTCTATACACTATTCAATTGACTAGTCAATTAACTACTCTGTGGACTCGTCTATTGACTAATCTATTGACAAATATTTACACCAATCTATGGAATACTCTATTAACTACCATATTGATTAGGTTATTGACTAGTCTATAAATTTATCTGCTGGAAAATTTATCCTTTCACTTTTAATTTCTGAACAACCCTCATTATTAACTATAAAAATCAACTAGTATATTTTAGATTTTTTCGAGTAGCAACAAAAACAACATTGTTGCAAATTTATTTTTGCAAATGGAAAAATAAACCTAAAAAAAAACAAATATTTACAATAAAACAACACTTGTGTGTCAAAAGCATTTAACCTGAAAGGACATTTGGCAATTTTCTGCTGTCAAAGTGTCAATTGTTTTATGTCCTTATATATTTCTCTTTAGATTTTTGCCTCAACAACAAAAAAAAATATGTTTTTGTAGAAAAACGACTTAAAATACAGCTTTTAAAAAGTAACAATTTACTACTACAGTTAATAAAGGAATGAGAAAGAAAGAGAGAGAGTTAAAAGAGCTTTAGTAAATTGCTTACTAAAAGTAAAATAGAAAAAATTCAAAAATATCCTTAAAATTTCATACGAAAATTTCTTCATTATAACATGTTTGTTTCCTGTTTTTTCTGGCTTATTTTCAGATAATAATTTCATTTGTGATTGTCGCCTGCAATGGTTGTATGAATTGAAAAATCGTACACGTCATCAACAGTTGCGTGACTCTTTGGAAAAATTCATCTGCAATTTGCAGGAGCCACATTTGCACAATTTCATCGAACCAGTGCCCAATCATGTGTTGCAGTTATTAAATGTGGGTGGCATAAATGCTGCACTAAGCGGTAGTGACCCCTTTATGAGTGGAGTCGGTATTAGTAGTAAAAAACATCATACGAAAACACGCCAGGGAGGCCAAAGACGTAATAATAAATTTGAGACTCAAATTCAATTAACCGACGATGGACAGGAGCATGAGCAGACATTAGAAAATTCAGCTTCATTGAAAAAGAAACGTGCTTTATCGCAGTACCAAAGCATTGGCAGTTTAGATGCCAGCAGTACAAATAAGGATACTAGTCATACGCCCGTTGAAAGTCATTACATATTTGGGGGACCAGACAGTAACAGTGGCATGCATAATGATTATTTTGATTCAAACTCTGAGGTACTTTTGACACATCCCGTCAAAATGGAAGATGAACTGGAATTGATGAAACAAAATGCTTTATACTCACAAAATAACGATGTTCTGACATCAGCACAGAGTCACAATCATTTGGATGGTGCCGACTTGATGCCTGTACAGGCTTTAGCCATACCAGTACGTCTGTTCTTACTGAAGCCAGAACGTCTGCCCTGTCATGAGGAGTTGAGTGATCCCACAGAATTGCCTCTGTCCCGAGATCTTATGGATGCTCGCAGTAGTAATGTGCAAGTGTTATCAGCCTCTACTAATGGCTCAATAAGTAAACATGCCTTTAATATTTTATGGCTGATATTGGCCATTGTTTATGGCACTCAAGTTGGCTAAGAAGGTATTAAGGCATCTTAACTAACACTCTCACACACACACAACATTTTTTAGTTTGATTTTTACATAAAAGGGTTTGAATTGTAAGAAAGAGAAAAAAAAAATAATTGAAAAACAAAATAACGGGTTTATTGCATACAAAATAATTAATTTCATTAAGGGGTCATTAAGATTTTTTCACTAATATTAAAAAACTAAAAAAAGAGCAAAGAAAAAAGAAAAAAAAATTATAATATTAAGCTAAATAAGTAATAATTTCAAAATTCACCTTGTGTTCTTATTCATATAAAAACAAAAAATAAATAAATAATAAAAATTATTAATTAACTAAATCATTTATAATTTGTTAAAAGCTTTTTTAATGAAAACAAAACTACTTTTACCAAAAAAAAAAAAAAGAAATACTTAATTCAGGTTTTAATTTATAATTTTTATATTAATTTAATATAATTTTTTCATTTAGTATTAAGAACTCTCTAACATAACAATAAACTAAATTAAATACTATTATTTTAAAACATATATAAAACAAAAACAAAAAAAAATAAAATTTTTATGCTTAATTGCTTGCAGAATAAAATTTATCAATTTAATTTATTTATTTTTTTTTATATTTATATATGTATTTAAAACAAATGCCAAAGCAGTCCAATAATTTATTTTATAAGTCATAATTTAATTGTAAATACACTGATCATCAGAAAACAAAAAAATTAAAAATTAAATAATAAAAATTAAATACACAAAAAAAATAAATAATATTTTCAAAATTTTTTTATTATTGCTGATTTCTAAATGAAAGTAAATGTTGCATTATAAAAAGGGAATTAAATAGTATTTGTAAAATATAAAATATTTAACTTTTTTATATGGAAAATAAAAAAAAGAACAATTATAATACTTGTAAAGTACTTAGAATTTCAAAATATATTCCTTTCAAAATTAAATTTTTTCACACAAACTTAACATAACTATCAACGATAACTTTCGTTTTCTAAAACCAAACTTCAAATATTTTATAGCAATTGTCAGAGACTTAATACAAAGGGGATTATATTGAGTTTGTCATTTATTTTTTAATACATCGAAATATTATTCATAAATCCACAAAAGTATATATGTATGTTCCAATTCCATATTCGATTCTAATTCCACTTAATAAGGTTTGTTTGTCTGTTCATCTGTTGAAAACAAGATAGGGTCCAGACAGGACAATTTATTCATATAAAAACATGATAAGATTTGTTTTATCTACAAATGACCACCCAAAATATCATTGTAATAGTGTTAACAAAACCATATAGACCTAATGACGACACCAGCTTGCAGGGAAGAGCTATCATGGAGTGTGTGATATGTAGATTAAAGACTAACATACATTCTGATATCAAGAAAACAATTAGGATGATATCAGCTACTAATATTGAATCTATGAATATATTGGACTGTAAGAGATTCACATACCGAATACTCTTCCAGTGGTAAGCTCTGCATCATGCCACTCGAGAATAATCGGAATGTACTTGTTATAAATTAAAGGAATCTGACGTAAGCAAAATCGTTGAAGGCAACGAAAGCAATGTGAAACTCATACGAGGAATAAGCGAACGAATTTACGTACACAACTAAGTATACAAAATTGAATTGAACTTCAGACATTTTATACAATTGTCAGAGACTCAACCCAAAGGGGATTATATTGAGGATAATCGGTGTGTACTTGCTATCAATTGAAGGAATCTGAAGAAAGCAAAATCGTTGAAAGCAACGAGAATTCCATACGATCGTTAGGAATAAGGGAACGGTGGTCCAGTTTTACGTACACAACTAAGTATACAAAATTGAATTACAAGATTCAGAAGAATATATGCAGGGTGTCCCATAGGAACTGAGGACCATTTCAAAAAAAAAAATTTTTTATTTTCTCGTGTTAAGTACATTCATGTGCATCTATTGGAGGTATTTCTAAATAAGATTCTTAAAAAGGCTATTCCTAATGTAGAGCATGCGGAGAGGATAGTGAAACTCTTGAACATGTTCTTTGTAATTGCCATTATTTTTCGAAATTACATTCAAATATTGCGATGATATTTTAGATATTACATTACTAAGCAATATCCTCAAATTAAAATTCTAAAGAACTATATTCTATCAACTATGTTTCTGAACTCTCATAGACCCCTACATAAAATTTTTCAAACCAATATTTTCCAATTAAAAGGGGGCAATAGCGCCCTAGGTGTAATTTTTCTGACATTTTTCGCCAACATATAAAGACTTTTTCAGAAAATATTATTAACATTTAAATCTGGCTAGAATATACCAGAAGACCAATGAGTTTTCGCATAATCGAAATCTATAGAGAGATTTTGGTTTTCGTATCTATTTCTATCTTTAAGATCTTAAAGAATTATTTTGCTTTAAATAATTTATTGATACCTATAAACCGAGCACAGATGCTCTTCCGAAAAGCTATCCTCCCTTATATGGATGATTTTATAAATTTTTTTATTTTCCATCAGAGTAAGTTATAGAAAATTTGATGGAGATTCTCAACCACACTAACCCTTTTGATTCAGTACTCTAATTTCAAGGACATTGTGATTTTTTTGTATTTAATTTTTTTAAATCTAGAAATAGGGTGCTACTGTAATCATTTAATTGAGAGGGTAACGCTTCTGTACAACTTGCGTTTGCTGCACAATTGTGCTGTAAATGTAACAATTTGTTTAACAGTGTTAATTAATGCTACAAACGGTATGTATATGTATCACTTACAGTTTTTAAAAGACGAACAAGAGCGGAGATACATACATATGTACCAGTCGCTTCGAAAGGGCTAACCCTTTAAGCAACTTTACCCAACATCGTTAAAAAATAAAAGTCCTTTCTACATACTTGTTTCTTAGTGTAGCAGCGCAAGATGATGTTCAAAATCTTGGTGAAATCTTTCACACATAGAAAAGGCGTTTCACATATATGTGCATCGATCTGATCATGTTTGAAAATGACGGTGATATAAGACATTTGTACAAAATTATAAGACTTTCCTTTTTTGCAGAAAGACAGGCAGACAGACAGACAGACACAAAGAAAGACAGACAGACGGCCGGACAAAACTTCATTATTCCATAATCTTACTTTTGCGGATCTACAATAAACATTTCAATGTCTCCGTAAATTAACTCTTTCGGCAATAATGGGTTAGTTGTTAAAATTTCTAACTTCTAAATACAATCCGATCAGATAAATGAAACAACTGATTTTACGCACGATAGAAGAATTAGGTACATAGAATGTGCGTCTCATACAAGATAAATTTTCAATAGGGGGTCGTGATGTAATTCATAACAACCCGCACGTCGAGATGCGTACTCTTGTAATGAATATTCTTTGATACCACTCAAGAACGAGACATTAGCAAGCAGAAGCATTCATCCAAGAGCAAATAGATTTAATACCACACGAGTTCCCACAAAAACTGAGAATACTTCGAAAAAAAGTATTACACAAAGGACTAGGACTGGTCCAAAACTGATCCAAGTCCACTTAACAACCACTTTATCCACAAATGTATTACATCCGACTAATCCCACACAACTCCCTAGCTAAAATTATAGTAGTATATAATCCACAACATTGCCCTATGTAATGCAGGATATGGACCAATTCGTTTTGTATTAACATGAGCAACATCTCCATTACAAAAGGAATACTAAATAGATCATGATTGAGGGAGTAGTTTTGGAATTACATAAATGAATCGTGTCCAATCCAATAGTATTTATGAGGTTGCAGCCGAGAAGTTTTGGAAGATTATTTGGCATTTCCGATATGTTTCTAGAGCTCAATAAAAATAAGTAATTTTGTTTGCTATATAAAAAACGGAACAATAAACAACCAACCAACCTATCAAATAAACGCCTAAGCGGAATATTTTGACGTCAAAATAGTTTGTTGTCTGTAATTGATGGTACCAGAAGGTTTACACATTAATTTTATCTGTACCCTACACAATGTAGCCCACATAAGTTTTGTCTTACCCGCCTTACGATCTAGGCCTTGCCCGTTCAACTAGGCTAACAGAAAAAGTATTCTTCCGAAGAATTCCTTGGCGTATAATCTATATATTGCCAAATAAAGTTGAAAAAGGCAATATAGAAGGCAATATTGTACCAATGCTACACGCCCAAAACTTTAAAAAATTTCCATATTTTTATGTCACAAATCCAATATAAGATACAAATTGTATGGAAAAATCTCCATTTACTGATAATGCTGAAAACTAACTAATTACTGTTTCCATAACTTTAACTTTAAAAAACTATAAAAATATACCATTTTTACACGACTTTAAACAAATACTGCAATTTAAAATCTCTATTTCCGGAAAAACAACTCTTCATATTACAAATAAATTAAACATAACAATACATTTCATACATAAATTAGTTTTAGTAACTATGGAGAAAAAAGAAGAGAGAACTTATGTTTAATGTCCTTTTTACATTTGTAATATTTTCCATTAAAAATATTGTTCTTGTTTAAACTTGTATTATTTTACTAGTGTTTTCGTTTGTTTAAGGATTTTCCAGTAAGATTCTAATACACACACACACACAAAAACAACATTTACTTATCCTAGTTGCAGGATATAATATTATACACAAATACTCCTTTACTTGTATACACACACATAGAGTTTTATACATATAATTTTAAAATAAATACCTACATACATATGTATGTAAGTAAGTATATACTGGTATAAATATTTTTTTTAGGTCAAACACTGTGTAAATACATGTGTATGTATTTATGTAACTAACTACTATCTCTCTACATTAAATGTAAGATAAACTAAAGATAGTTTTAGTCTGCAAATATAAAATTAAAAAAAGAGAAACTAAACTTTCCACATTCACAAATAAAATAGATCTAGAAAGGAATGAAATAAAACTTAAAAAAAACATCTACAAAAGAATAAAATACAAAACAAGATTTTTAAAAGACGGCAATATGAAAAAAATAGTAGTCTTGTATTAAAATAAAATAAAAACACAAGTAATACAAACCCCAAACTCGGCCAAATACCGACTATAAAATAAAAATCCTACACTACTCTATACTAATGAGCAGCAGGTCGGTTATATTCTGCTGGTTTGTGTTGTGGATTTAATCTACAACCAAAAATT